CACCCACCAAGCCGTTGGAGTCCAACACAGCAGTAGGCTCAGAGAAAGTTAGGGTGTTGTTTCCACTCAGGTCTTTTCATCACTTTTAAAGAAAATTTAAAATAAGAATATTAAAGGAAATAAGGGAAAAGAAAAAATAGGAGAAAAGGAAAAAATGAAAACGAAGTCTTTGTAAATAGGGCAGGGAGGAAGGGATGAAGGGAGGGCAGGGGTGTGAGGGAAAAAATGAGAACCAAAACTTCTCATGTAAAAGATCCCAATGATGAATGTAATTGTACTGTATACTTTAAAAGTACCAATAAACTCAATAAAAAAGAAAAAAAATTAAAGTATTATTAATGTGGGGATTTGGGAGGCCTTAAAAATGTATTCGTGCATGTTGACTGTTCATGAAGCTTACATTCATCTTAGGGAGGTATGGTTCATGTACATAACACAGGTTGATTCTTCTTTACTCCCCTTCCTTCCCTACCCAGTTCCCTCCCTCCATCTCTAAGCCCCTTGTCCCCATTTCATTATTGTTGTTGTTGTTGTTATTATTATTAATTTCATACTTACATGCATAATGCTTACATTCATTGTTGGTGTTTATGAAACTTCTTAAATCTTTTAGTTCCTCCACCCCTTCACTCTTCCGTTGCCCTCAGTCCCTGAACCTCTTCCCAAATGCCAAAGATCTCTCGTCCTGTTTCCTTTTATAAATCCCTAATTTTGCTCTTTATTTGTACTTTGTTTTTCTCAAGTGAGAGATAGCATACGGTACTTAAGCTTGAGTTTGTGCTTTCTTTCACTTTACATTGTAATTTCCAGATGAATCCATTTTCTGGCAAATCTTGAATTTATCCTGTTTGCACCTGAGTTGTATTCAGTTGCGTATAGATACCAGATGTTCTTTATCTATTCATCTGTTGTTGGATGTAAAATCTGCTTCTAGAATTCAGTTATTATAAATTGTGCTGCTATCAACATTGGTAATTATGTGTTGCTCTACGATGATGTCTTTAGCTCTTGAGGAAAGATACTCAGAAGAGGAATAGATAAATTGAATGATATTTCTAATTTTGCTTCTTTGAGAAATATCCATATTGATTTCTATTCTGTGTATCAATTTACGTGTTCACTTTCAATACAGGGGGGCTCATTTTTTCAATAAATTATTAGTTATTATTATTTGATTTCTTTATGATTGCTATTGTTTTTGGTGAAAGATGAAATCTTAGCACTTTTTATTTGCATTTCTTTAATGGGCAGAGATGTTCAATGGTTTGTTCTTCCTCTGAGAAATGTCTATTCATTTCACTTACCCATTTTTTGCTTGGATCTTTTCTTCTGGGATAATTGATGTTTGATTTCTTATATCTTGAATATTAGTCCTTAAACTGAGGATTAGCTGGGAAATTATTTCCCTATTCTGTAGATTGTTTCTTCACTCTGATGATTATTTCCTTTGCTGGGAAGAAGCTTTTTAATTTTATATAATGACATTTGTTGATTTTTGCTGTTAGTTCTGTGCCATTGGGATTCTGTGCCGAAAGTCCTGACCTACATGAATGAGTACAATTGTTTTTTTCCCATTTTAATTTTCAGTAGGTTCATTGTTTCTGTTTTAATGGTCACATCCTTGATCCATTTTTCAGTGCAGTATATGGTGAGAGATGAAGGTCCAGCTTCAATCTTCAACATAGAGTTATTCGGTTCCCTTGCAGCATTTGTTAAATGGGCCATCTCTCCCCAATGTATATTTTTGGCCCCCTTTTCAAAGATCAAATAGCCAAATGTGTCTGGGGATGTTTCTGTTCTACTGATCTGAGTGTCTGTTTTTGTGTTGATACTGTACCACTTTTGTCACTGTTCCTTCGCAGTGTAACTTGAAGTCAGGTATTGTGTCACCACCTACTTTGTTCTTGTGGCTCAGGATTGCTTTTGCTATTCTGGATCTCTTTCAGTACCACCTAAATTTCAGAATTCATTTCTCCAATTTTGTGAGGAACACTGGTGATGTTTAATTTGGGATTGCATTGAATCTATGTATCAGTTTGGAGGGTATGGCCATTTTGACAATAAAAATATTCATTCTGTCTATTCCATATATACTATTTAATCTTCATTTTTAGTTCCCTATAATTATTCTTTTTATTGAGTCCCTATAATTATTCTTATAGAAGACTTTTATATTCTTTGAGGGAATAATCCCAAGTATTTACTTTTACTTGATGCCATTGTGAATGATTTTTTTCTAATTCTATTCTTATTATCTTCTTTATGGTATACCCCAATGCTTTTAATATTTAGTGTTGGTTTTCTATCCTTCTACATTGATAAATCATTTAGATGCTATTTATATAGACTTTGAACTTACCTTTTAAAACTGACCCTAGAGATAGGTAAAACTTTGGGGCTATTAGGATAATATGATGCCTTCCCTAAGACAGAAGATTGTGAAACTTGGAGGACAGGATGGAAAGCTTTCATTTCACTGTATGAGCCTCCTCATGTGGATTTTGATTGTCCTCTAGCTCCTACATCGGTCAGATTTTCCTCCCATAGCCTTTATACAATGTTCTCATGCCTATGTCCTTAGCAGGCTGTTCCTTTGAGCACAGGAAACTGTGGGAAGGCTCCAGTCCACCCTCCCATGCATGTGGCACAGGGTCATTCATTGACATACATACTAGTTTGGACGATCCTCTGGCCCACCCCTCCTCACCACGTGAAGGTGCAGTGTAATGTGAGGACAAGGGACTCAAAATGAAGACACTGTCTGTCCTTCAGTACTCAGTTGTTTTGCAGAAATTACAAAATGAATTTTAGATACACTACATGGCTGGGCCAGCTCCTGAGCAGGTGTACAATGGGGATGGGCAGGTCACCCTCCAATTCCAGCCACCAGCTGTGCTTTGGTCTTATGAAAGTGATGGTGGGAAGGGCTCAAGTACCTCCCTAGTCCCTATAGTTATCCCCTGGTAGGTAGCTGTCCTCCAAAGAAAACAAAAACACAGGATTATTCCCTCCTAAATCATCTGGACTCTTGAGAGGTCACTGTCTAGCCTTGCAAGACCCATCTCAGGAAAGCCCTCTCTGTTCTGTTCTCCCTGCAGAGTAGTAGTCAGTAAGTCCTCAGCTCCAGTACATTTTCAGAAGCTCAGGGTAGTCCAAAGGAGACTCTGAACCTGGCTCAGATCTTTCCTATGTTCTGTCCTCTATTCTTGGGACACTGTAGGAGTCACCCTGTGATCCAGATGTGAATGGGTGTACAGAGACCAGCAGGGGGCTCAATAGCCATTCTGCACAGCTCTAGCCCAATAGCAGGTGGTTTCCTGGAGCAGAATCCTCCTGGGCCTGAGTCTTCCCCTTTCAAAAACTGTGAAGTAACATTGGAAGTTTATAAAGGGTGCACATGTTTGAGAAATGTCCTGTTTGATTGGGGGAGTTTACCTAATTAAAAATTCAAGGAGAGCCACTTACAGGGGTTTTAAGCACATCAAATATATCAACATTAAGATGGTGGAACACAGAAAGGAGTTTTCTTAACTCAAATGATGCAGCATGTTGGGCAACACATTTGTCTCAGTGAATCGATATAGTGTTTCCATCAGGTGTTGGTGTTGGCAGAGCTGCTGAGTGGGTGGCACAGAGGCTTAGGGTGAGAGAGAGCGGAACATGAGTGATCCGTGTGGATGAGCTCAATGCATAATGTTAAAGAGCAATGAACATATGTCACTGTGTCGCTGTGGCTGAGTAGAGAATGAAGTAGATTACTTGACTTCAGTGGCTGAGAGGACACAGCGGCACTGCTGCTTCAACGTAAGAGAGCTTGAGGCAAATAGCAGTGAGCTCAGACCTCTGTAGTTATGTATTTGTACCTCAAGGACATGAGAACAAATATGTAGAAGAAAAGCATTTGCACAATGTTGGCCAAAGGAGAGGGCTAGAGTGGGATCTTTTGTTACATGACACATGTTGATCCAGTTTAAGCAATCTTATCAGGTTAGAGGGGGCACAATTGTCAAAGCAAACATCTTTGGGAACAAACTACTTTTAATTCTGCTGACTGTTATCCTGAAGATTATGCTCTAAACTCTACCAATGCGCCCCTGGAATCCTGAACGTTTGTCTAGGAAGTCCCTTACTTTTTCCAATTCACTTCAAAAACACCTTTGGCCAGAATCTCCCAATATTCGTAAAATGAATTTCTGTAAAACCTATAATATTATGTTCTGTGAACTTGAGAATGAGACCCAAACATAATTAAAACAAAATCTTGGGCTGGGGATTTAGCTCAGTGGTGCCACCACCTGCCTCACAAGTGCAAGGTCTGGAGTTCCATCTCCCAGTACCACAAAAACAAAAACAAAACATAATCTTAGATTATGGTAATTGAGTCATCAAACTTGCCATTCTAGGCCTATCGTGCATGTGAACAGATCTAGAGCAGTGGACCGCACATCAAAGGGTTGGTCTGAGGATCAGTGGTCTTCCTGTGTAACAGCTGGGACCTCAGTAACACAAACGGGCACTGGGGGAACCACCCCAGGAGGCCAAGTTAACATCAGAGATGTCTATTGGTCTTTCTAGGTACTTGTGTGGTACTGTCTGTCCCTTTCTTAGAGTCATCAGTGGGCTTTGCTGGTACTAGGTAAAAGCAGCTCAGCATCACAGGCAGTGATGGCTCAGAAGAGTTGCAGGAGTCTGGGTGACACTAAAGCTTGGATTTGCTCTGCAGAACTTGTTCTGTGCTGTCTTGATTCTCACTGGGATGAATTCTGTCTACACATGGTCCAGGAAGGTGGCAGGGTATGTATACATTTCCTCAGGTAGGATTAGGGCATGGACTCCAGCACTCCACTTCTCTATGACCCATATGTTATCTTCTTCCTCTTTATTAGTCCGGATTAGGTCTTGAGCTAAGAACATCCCAGCCTCATGAATATGCAAACAACCTGAATCTGCTCTGGTAAATACAGATATGTCTGTGCCAGGGCATCACACAACCACCAACCTACTCTGTAGAATCCCCCAGAGCACAGCTCTTCACCATGGACTGGACATGGGGAATCCTCTTCTTGGTTGCAGCTGTGAATGGTAAGTGGATCCCCAGTCTCAGGGCTGAGGAGCAGACCAGAATCAGTCAGGGGATGCTACCTCCAACTCCTGTCTTCTCTCCACAGGTGTCCATGCCCAGCTGCAGTTGGTGCAGTCTGGGGCAGAGGTGAGGAAACCTGGAACCTCAGTGAAGGTCTCCTGCAAGGCTTCAGGCTACAGTTTCACTAGTTACTGGATGGAATGGGTGCGACAGAGCCCTTCACGGGAACTCGAGTGGATTGGAGAGATCGACCCTAGTGATGGTGAAACTAATTATGCTCAGAAGTTCCAGGGAAAGGTCACCCTCACTGCAGACACCTCCTCCAGCACAGCCTACATGGAGCTGAGCAGTCTGAAGTCTGAGGACACAGCCGTGTATTACTGTGCGAGGCACAGTGTGGTGACCACATCCTGAGTCTGTCAGAAACCCTGAGGGAGGAGCAGCTGCAGTGCCGGTGAAATGACTAAGATGATGAGACTGAGGAGTTACTTAGAAAACTGATGTATTAATTGAGGATAGGAACCATAGAAATAAATATGCACCCTAATTGTGTGGGATAGTTTTGTGGGTGTCCACAACAGTCAACCTTGGTGCAAAATACAGGGAGTAAAAAAAAAAAATCTCCCTCCTAATAAGGACACAAACTACTCCAAGAAGGTATTTGTGATGAGACATGTTTCAAAACAATTGGAGAAAGATCCAGGAGCCAAGTTTTTCCAGGAGCAAAGTTTTTCAATCATATGACAACATTCTGTATATTTTCTAAAACATGGCCAAAATGTTTCTGCCATTTCTATTTAGCAAAATTTACTTATACGGCGGGTTTATGCTCACAGTAAAATCATTTAGAAAGACCAAGATTTTCCATGAATCTCTGCCCCACCAAGTTGTGCACAGCCTGCCCCTCTACTACCGCCCCGTCCTGCAGTCCTTCTGTGTTCCAGCTATTGGAGCCACAGTGAGACACCATCCACTCCCACAGCCGGGTTCTTACGTGGGTTGACTCCTGGTGCTGTGCATTCTATGGGTTTGGATAAATGTTTAGTTATATGACTCCACCATGCTTTTCATGGGTGTTCAAATTATTTGGTGATTACCAGGAGCAGGCCTGTCTCACCCTGGGGTTGTAGGGGTCCATTCAGACAGGCACAGGGTGGAGGATCTGACAAAGCACCTGTGAGGAGTCCAGTTGGCCATGCTGGCTGTTGAGCTCTTCCTTGACAAGTCCTGTGGGTTGTCTACTTCACAAGTGGCTAATGATGATGGTTCAAAATGTCTTCATCCTTCCAAGCCTTCTCCTGATGGCCCAATGGTACCTACAAGCAATCTTCACCCACTTGGGAGAGCTGAAAGTGTGAAGCTGATAGAAGCATCCTCATGGGGTATAAGAGGATACCATGTTCAGATCAGCTGTGTGACCACCTCAGATTCTTTTGCTCCAGCGTTATCTTCATCTCCGTAAGAAATACCCAAAGAGCCTTCACAGTGAAAGAACCATTTCCTACTCCCATTCTCAGGGAATAAGTTTCTCACTGCAGACAAATCTCAGGATTTTATTTGTTCATTGTTTGCTTTTTGGCATTTGTATCACATGGTTGTATAATTACACATTTTCCTACAAGCCATATTGAAAATTTCATGGAGCCCTAAATAAATTTTGAAAGTTTTAGCGATTTTCTTTTGCTTCAGTCTTAAATGTTCTTGGGTATTTTCTCTACAGGTCCTTTAACAATTATGCAGTCGTCAGGTTTATTTTCTGATTCTACAGCTTGTCTTTTCATTTCCTTACCTGAGTTGACCAGAAAAAAATTCAAATTTTTAGTGCTGCAATATTCATCATGTTTATTTCTCAGATGTCAAGTGGTATGGAATTGTGATTTTCAATCATATTGCCATGACCACTGGTGGAAACCTTCTCATGTACCCATGAGTCACTTGTGTGTCTCTATTGAGAAATGCAGTTCAGGTCTTTTGCAGTTTAAATAGAATCATCCCTTCATCTATTGTATCCAAAATGGGAGGTTTTCTTTGCATTTTAGATGTTTAATTTCATCTGGTATCACTTACAAATATTTCCCCCTTTCAATAGTAGGCTTGCCATTTGTACATTTTTTTGATAAAAATTACTTAATTTGATGTTGTCTGACTTCTCAACTTCTGCTTTTGTTGCCTAGAGTTTTGGAAACAAATTCAAAATTCATTGGCCAGATCAATTTCAAGACCAGTTTTCCTGTTTACCTTTAGAAATTTTATGATTTGTGTGTTACATTTTGCTTCAATTAAAAAAGCATTTGTAGTGTGACATGTGGGTGCACTTTTATATTTGTGCATGTAGTATGCAGTTTTATGAAAAATGTTTATTAAAGAGACTTTCCTTTCCCCATTGTGTACTCTTAATTCTGTATTAAAGTTTGTTTTTCATATGTTTCTGGAATTTATTCTGTTCTATGCCATTGATGATTATGTCTATTTTAGCGCCTATTAGTTTTTTATGTTATTTATTTATTTGTTTGTTTATTTGTTTGCTTATTTATTTTGGTACCGGGGATTGAACCTATTAGTTTTTTATATGTGGGAACATAAGCCATGAAAGTGATTTCCTGACCTTCAACCTCTGACACATCCCCAGGGAGGCTCATCCTTAAGGGTGCTTCAATCCTGGTTGAAGTGAAGCCTTTTACTCTGAATAATTGGACACCATTGTATATGTTAATCTTGGTGTTCACACATCATAGGAGCTACTTAGTTCTCTACCCTAAGATGTTGGCCAATGCCTTGGACAGTTTGGGCTGATTCCACTGTGGCGAGGCTTCTCCTGGCATCCAGTTGTTTAAGACTCTGAATGCTGTTACACATCTTAAAATTTCGGCAGTTTAGTTTAGTTATTAAAAGAATGCCTGTCACTTCTTTCATCTTCCTGCTCCTCTTCTGCACCAGACAGAGGCTGGTAACTCTCTCAGGGAAGTGGGGCTGCACCCACACCAGCCCCAGGCCTGTGCATCCTGAGCTCACCTCCTGTGCACCTGCTGGAGCAGAGAGGATGGAGAATAAGCCCAGCACTCACTATGACAGCTGCTGCTGCTCACTGTGCATGTGGAGATGGCCAAGGGCCATGAGACTCCACCCTGAGATGGACACAGACATGGGCACATGAGAGAGGGCACAGTCACGATGGGCCTGGAGCCCCCACAGCCCCACAGCAACACCCACTGAGCCCCTGCCTTTTGGCTCATCAGCAACACAGGAGCGATGACCCTAACCGATGGTTAGTATTCATTCAGACTGCTCTACTGCCGATTGTATCCACCAAAGGGAACACGCAATGAACCAACAAAACAATAAGAATGAAGTAAATTAACAAACCTATCACAATGTTATACTCCAAAAACTGAAAATAAATAATAGCAATAGTTAAGGAACAGATCAACAAAAAATACACATATTCAGAAAAATCATTCCATCTTTGAAAATTATAGGAGTTTTTCATAATAATGAATCTTCAATGAAAATAAATTAAAATCCTCAAGCAAAAGAAAGAGTTTGGCTAAAACACAAATGAAGATAACAAAATACAACTATCACTGTTCTAAAAGAACCTTTTAATTCAATATCACAAATATTTTAAAGGTTAATAATAGAATCAGATTTCTTGCATGGTTAAATTAAAGTCAGATGGAAAGGCTTAGATATTGGCAGATAAAATGGGCATTTGTATATAAGACATCACAATATACATAGATATCTATCTATATATATAGATAGATATCTATATCTATATATCTATATATATATATATGGTGTGTGTGATGTTAAATAATTATGTCAGTGTCACATTAATACACTTAAAAACAATGGAGCTATGTGAGTCATTCCCTTACCTCCATCTGATTCTAAATGGTACCCATGCTTATTCCCGATTCCACTGTCCTAAGAGAGGTACAGCATAAAAAAACAAAACTCTAGGAGATTACCAATGCTTTGGCTACAGCACAGGCCTGTTGGATCTCCTAGCCCTACCTTCTGGTCACCTTTACCCTTCCTCCACCTCATCACAAGTCCAAAAGTATGCATTACGTGTCATAAATGTAAGTGAGATCACAGTGAATTCTGAGACAAGCACACACGTTGAGAGCCCATAGGATGACTCAGCACCCTGTCAATCATTCCTCTCAATCACACCTGGAGATTCAGTGGAAGGCACCACTGGCCTTTAAATCCTGAATTTCTGATTTACCTGCCCTTTTCATTGTTGTTGCTGTTGATAATTTTCTCTGTGTGGACCTGTGCGCAGTGCTTTTCTGTCACCCAGGACCTCTATCTGTCAGTCCCTTATCCTATGGTGGCACAGACTTGGCCTGAGCACAACTTCCCTTGCTTGTTACTACTGGGTATACACATGGCAGTTCTTTCATAGTCCTCACAAGATCCTGGACTACTCGTCACTACATCGCGCTGTGACAAAATCGTTAAGAAAAAATAACAACTACAACCATGTATTTCTATCACAATTGGTCCCGGGCTTGCTGTTCAGCAAAAAACACTGAAGAATTAAGTTGTAAACCAAAGTCGGATGTTAAGAAAGACCTATTGGAAATAACTTCTTGGTGTTCCTGAGGGATCCTAATTGAATTGCCATGTGGCCCCCTCAATTTAGAATTATAGTAGACAGGGCATAAGAATTGCCTAATTGTCAATAAATAAATAAATAAATAAATAAATAAATAAATAAATAAATAATAAAATTTTTTT